CATCCTTAGCTTATTGATATGGTTCCCTTGTGTCCTCAAGATTCTTGGACTAGGAGTTTCACCTCAACAACACCCAGCTTAAGAAAAGAGAACTCCTTGAGAAATGACTGATTCCAAAGCTGGGGTAAAAAAAATACAAGATGAGCCAGAAACTCCTAATTGTGACGGAGTGTAAAATTCTATTTAAAGCATGATGGGGACATATCAAAAGGACATAGCCAGCTTGAAGGAGCCTTCTTTAGCCAAATTTGGAATAATTTGAGCATCAGAATTAATAATGATAGTAATAGATGATAAACAATTTGATAAATAGAATCCTACAACTCCAAACTGATATAAATGAATGAATAAATAAATAGAGAGAAGATAGAGCTTTTCCTTATAGTAGAATGATAACTAATAAACATTAAAGGAATGACTGAATTAGAGAAGTCAACATTTGGTAACTATCATAGTAATAATTCAGTCAAGAAACATTAATATATGCTAATAACCAGTGGGTGGAATTTTTATGAACAGGATATTAACATAGTCTCAAAGTACCTTCCCACAAAATGCTCATTAAATACAAAGGGAAAAAGAGTAATGACATTGTAAAAATCTTGCATAATCAAGTGTTTAAAATTAATAACAACATTAATGAAATAAATAAAAATCTTGTATCATCTGATAGGGCACAATAAAAAGAAAACGGCATCATTTCCATGGCATTTCTACCCCAAATTCATGACCTGAATCTAATTATGAAAGAACATCAGACAAACCCAATTGATGGACATGCTAATCTAAGTAGCCTTTAATCTTCTAAGATGTCAAGATGTCAAAGAAAGAGCAAACACTTCCAAATTACAGAAAACTAAAGAGTCAAGATACCTAAATGAAATGTATAATTCTGGACCAGATCTTTTTGTTATAAAAAACCTTATTGGGACAATTGGCAAAACATGAATTAGATCTGAAGATTAGCTGATAGAATGTTCATTCCTGATTTTGATGGTTGTTTGTGGTGATGTAAAAGAATGTTCATATTTGTAGGAATTACACACTAAAATAGGAGTGATGAAGCCTTGTGTCAGCCACAACCTTAGATGGTTCAAGAAGAAAAGTTCTTTGTTCTCTTAACTAACTGGTAAGTCTAAAATTATATCAAAAAGAAAGGAAAGAAGAGTTATTTCCTCTAGAGCACCTCTTTTCACTAGGATAGAAAACTTTCTAAGCAGCTCCCCCTTGGTCAAGGTTGGGTCACATGCCCTTTCTCTAGCTGCAAAGGAGGCTGGGAAAATGAATTTATAGAATGAGAAGTGGGCTCTTCCCACAAGGAAGAAGGAAGTGCATCATGCTGGGGTTTCAGCAGAGGAGAGATCATGTGTCTAGTCATCACCAACCCCTGTTTAAAACTCTTTGAAGTTTCCCCATTGCTTCTAGAACAGAGATCAGTCTTCTGTCACCCACAAAACTGGAGTACCTCTAATGCCTCAGTGCTAATTTAATGTCCCATCACTCTTGGTGCTCCTGCTACACCAGTCTTCTTTCAGTCCCATGCATGTGCCATGGTTACAACGGTATCTAATATAGCAGCAAATAGGTGTTGAATAAACTGGCGCTGCTCCAGCCCCAGGGCCTTTGCACATGCCATCCTCATATACATCTTTAACCATTGTCCTTTTCCTCTTTGCCTACTCAGGTGTACTCACCCTTTAGCTATCAGCCACTCTATCTTTTGGTTGGAGCACTTAATTCTTTTCCATTTGAAGTACTTGTTGATATTACCATCCTTTATTCCTGTTTTTGATACATGTTTTTTATTTTTAAAGAAGTCCCTCCAACATTTCTTGTAGTACTGGGTTGGTGATGATAAATTCTTTTAGCTTATTTTTTGTCTTCCCAGACAAAATATTTTTCCTTCAACTCTAAATGATAGATAAAGTATTCTTGGTTGTAGATCCTGGATCTTCATCCTGTCAAATATTTTGTGCCAAGCCCTTCTGTTCTGCATAGTTTCTTTTGAGAAATCAGCTGCCAGTCTTATGGGTACTTCCTTGTAGGTAACTAACTGCTTTTACCTTGCCGCTTTAAGATTCTCTCTTTGTATTTAACCTTTGGCATTTTAACTATGATGTGTCTTGGTGTGGGCCTCTTTGGGTTCCTGGTTTTGGGGATTCTCTGAGCTTCCTGGGGTTTTATGTCTATTTCCTTCACCAGGTTAGGGAAGTTTTCTATCATTATGTCTTCAAATATATATTCAACTTCTTGTTCTCCCTCTTCAGGGACCCTTATGACATGAATATTTTTACCTTTAATGGTGTCCCATAGGCTCCTTAAATTATTATTATAGTCTTGGCTTCTTTCTTCTTGCCATTTTGATTGAGTGTCCTTGGCTTTCTCATCCTCTGTATAGGTCATTTGTTCCTCTTCTTTATTCCCCTTTGTTTTTTCCATTTAATATACTTCTCATCTCAGATAATGTGCTCTTCATTTCTGACTGGTTCACTTTTATAATTTCTATTTCTATTTTTATGTTTTTTATCTCTTTGTTGAAGTTCTCACTGAATTTATCTACTTTTCCCATAAGTTCATTGAGCATCTTTATAACCAGTGTTTTGAACTCTGCATCTGTTAGATTGCTTGACTCCATTATTTCTGGATCTCTGTTCTGTTCTGTCATATGGTTTCTGCTTCTTTGTTTTCCCATTTTGGCTGCCTTTCCATGTCTGTTTCTATGTACTAAGCAAAGCTCCTAAGTCTCCCGGTCTTATTAGTGTGGATTTGTGAAGTGGCACAATCCTGAGAGGGGTTCAGCTGCAGGCCAAATTTAGCCCAAGCCTCTGCCCCTCCGGGACCACCTGTTAAGATTCAGCAAGCAATCCACAGGTGCTGTGCTTATAGTTAGTCGCTTCAAAAGGCCACACCAGAAACTGAGGCCAGCTGCCTACAGTGTGAGTCTAGGAGCTGCTCAGCAAGGAGCACCTGACTAAGCGAGGATACACCTGGATATGGCTTGGGCGGGGTTGTGAGTTGGGGGAGGCGAAGTTTCAGGGAATCCTCTGGACGGAGCAACCTCTGTTATCCAGTTTGACTACGTCTCCGCTATGGTGGTGCTGAGTCCGTGCACTGGTAGTGGGGAGGGCTCAACAGAGGAACAATGGATACTGCCGCACTTCCGTACAGAGTGAGTTGTGCCTCAGCCCTCACTCCGTCAACTCAACGTCCCATGTAAGTCTCTGTTGCCTTCTGCGCAGCCCAACTGGCACTGGTGCTCAGAGCGAGCAGGTCCATCACTGCAAAGTCCTCTCGCGATCACGGCCCATTTAAGAGTTGTCTGCAGCTGCTGGCTGCTGTGCTGCTGCTATGGCCTCTGTCCCACTCAGCCGCTCAGGACAAGCAGCTTCACGTCCTCGCCCCATCCTACTTTCTGCCATTGCAGGGTGATTGCTTAGATTTCTCCGTAGTTATATGGCTTGTTCATCTAGATCCCAGGTGATTTTTCCTTGCTGTTTGCTCCTTGTTTCTATCACAACTTTAATTTGGTCATCAGAAGGATGAACAGGTCCTCTATCATCTATGCCATTTTTTTTCCCCCTCCCAAGTAGCTATAATTTTAAATTGACCGAGGGAGTATTTTCCCAGGGTCTATCTCCCTCACTGACTATAAAATTTAGAGGGCATTGTTTTTTGAGTGCTGTATCCCTATACTCAGCATGGAAATTGGAACTCTGTGGTGCTCAGTGAAGATATGTGGAATGCATGAATGACTGAGTGAATGAGTGAATATTCCACTGGTGTTTCTGGGAAGGGACTGAAAAGCAGGTCATGCTTGAAAAGCACCTCACAGGACAGGTAAAATTCCAACAAAGGAATGGTCTTCAAGTAACCAACTCAGAACTTGCCAAAGCATTGATCAAAGGGAGTTTTTGCATGACTAGGACAAATAGGGAAACAAATCCAGAGAAATAATGGGCCTTAGACCAGAAAGACAACTAAGCCAGGTTTTGGAAGGATTCAGATGTCAGGGTGAGAACTTGGTTCTTAACTTGAGAGGCAATGGGGAGCCATGCAGGGTAGGTGAAGAAGATGACACACCCACAGCTTCTCTTTGAGAAAACAGACATTACGGGGAAAATGAGTGTGGCTGCAGAGAGGAGCTGGAAGCAGAAAAGCACCTTAGAAGGATATTGCAGTAGCTTTTGGTCAAACTTGCAAGCACATGAATGAGAGTATTGCAGATAAGGTATGATGAGAGCGAAATTTGGGTGGTAAAATTCAAGAGGCTTGGTAACAGATGGGAAGATTAAGAAACAGAGAAGACCACTGGTGACAGGACTGTGAGCTCCTACAACCCATGCTTTTTTAAAAAATTTTTTTGTCCTTATATCTGCAGTAGAGAAAGAGATTTCTTTCCTCAGAAATTATGGAAAGGAAACTAATTTGGGGCTGCAAATGCTCAGAGAGGCCATAAAAGGAGAGAAAATCTTACCAAAAGACCTATTCTATTTGACTCATTCAATGTTCAGTTGGCAACATTTAAAAGTAGAGATTTCTCATAAAATTCTCACATTTCTTAAGGTCTGTCCACACTGGTCACCATGTCCCAGGTGGCATCTCTCATGAGATGAGCCAGGGTGGCCCTGTTTCACTGCTCTCTAACATTCTACCTGGTGTTACTCCCAGAGGGGTTCATATATTAACTGCCCTAGCCTCTGAGGGTAGCTGAGTCAGGTCCCTGCTCTTTAAGTAGCTCTTCAGTTTCCAGGAGGCTGCTTTTTGTACCGTGAAACATTTTATGCATGTTTTCACCAGTGATCGGGGGTACCTGAAACTGGGGTTGAGGGTTCTGCTCCAAGGGCCTCCACTCCCCTAAAGAAATCTGATGAGACACAAGTGATGAAGAGGCATATCAACACTTACAGCGCCTTCTGCCAGCACCAGCATTCAGGGTCATGGGGTTAAATGGATGCCGTGAAATCACTACCCCAGGGTAAATAATTAGATAAGGACATACACAGACTGCATAAAATGTTTATTGATATGTTTATCATGCCAAAAAAGGTTTTTATTTAAAATTCAAATTCCATTGGAAAGGAGGCAACAAACAATCGTTGGGATCCCAGCCTACTCCTGGAGGAGTTCCCATGCTCACGAACAAGCACGCACATTCTACAGCTATGTGATTTGATCACTCAGAATTGCATTCTGGGAAACTCCTAGAGATCATTTGCAGGATGCCAACTGTGTCTTTAGTTGGTAGCTGGGAAACAACAGCAACAAAAACAAAATAACTCCATTCTAAGACTTCTCAGAACATTTCTGGCTTTGAAACTATTGACCCTCAAGGATCCACCACCACCAAGCCTAGAATATATGTGTATATATATTCTTACTGAAAAAAAAAAAAATCATTGTTTTTGTTGCTTGCTGGCTGTTGCATCAGACCCTTAAGATGGCCTCAGCGCTCCTGGCTTTCCTTCTGAGTGGGCTCCTGTGGATTCTGGCCGTGGATAGGCAGCCCTTCAGGAGTGTTTGGACTTGCTGCAAGTTGGGCACAGAAGCTGACCCTTACTGACAATGTACGCCCGACCGCTCAGCTGCTGCTCACAGCCCTCACAGACAAAGTGCTTTCGGTGCCAGGCCAGATCTTCCACACGCTGGTAGTCCTCTGAGAATATTATCTGGAGAAGAGAGCAGAAGAAATGAATCCAGCAGAGGCAGTAATTAAGGGTAAGTTGTAGGATGGTGGTTCATCCTACCCTATTCTTGTTTTGACCTTTAAATGCCTCGGTGGAGAAATATGACATCAGTTGGAGCCAGTAAGTATAGTACTTGGTGAAAGTTATATTTGCATCTTAGGTTTTCAGAGGGGAAATAAAGTCCTCCACCATCAGCAGGTTTTACTTATCTAGCCTCTGGGATACTCTTTGGGTCAAATACAAAGCCCAGTTGTGTTCTGAGATGAGAGTACATACCCTGATGAGGACAGCTCAATGAGAGCTAAACTGCCAATGGCCAGGCTTCAAGAACGAGAGCACACGGGGTCACTCGGGCTTGTAATATTGTGACATTCGGGCTTGGAATATATATATGTGAGGAACCACTGAGGCACAGAAAGGGAAGAATAGCATACTGGTTAAATGTGCCTTTGGATTTTGGGTCAAACAGGAACCAGGTATGAGGTTTCACTTAAACACTAAACAGCTTTGTGACTTGGGACAAATTGCTTAATCTCCCTGTGTCTCAGTTTCCACTTCTGTAGAATGGAGACATAAATACCGTCTATCTCATAAGTTTTTACAAGTTACTATCTATGAAGTGCTTGGAATAGTGACGGATAAGTCGCTTGGAAAAGTCACTGCTATATGATTATCACTGACCTTTCTGAGCTGCACTTTTCTCCAATGTAAAATGGAGGCAATGATTATTTCTCCCTAAAGGATTATCGTGAGATATAAATGGCATATCACACATCTAAAGTATGTAGCAAATTATTGACCTGTTATAAGCCCTTAATAAAGGATAGAGTGTTGTCCCAGTGAGTATACTGCTGTCCTCACAAAAATGAGGTTGTGGGCCAGGCCTGCTGACAGTTCTTAATCTAGCTCACGAAAAGCATGTACATTCATTCACTTGATGACAGAGTTATTAGTAAGAGGCCTTAACTTCATATGGAGACCAACTGTGGAAGGTAGTAAAAGGCAGATATTGGCTCAAAATACCTCATATATGCCCAGGATGAAGGTAGTTTCCTGTCACCAAATGCATGCAGACAGTAGATGTCATAATTATTATTAATATATCTTAGAGTTCTTCTAGTCTTAACCCATATTGGAGTTGAACCCCTTTCAAAGCATCTCTAACTATGGTATTGCTTTGTGTTATGTTAATGTTATATTATATTATCCTAAGACTAATAGTGGTGCCCACCTATTAGTCACTCAGTCAGGCCCATGGCAAGCATTTTCATGTAGTATCTCATTCATCTGCATAGCAACCCCATGGGATGGGCAAGATTATTCTTCCCATTTTATAAGTAATAAAACTGAGGTGTAGGAGTTAGGTAACCACATGATTAAAAGATGCAAAGCCAGGTTGGACCATGGGCAATCTGCCTCTTGGTGCACCCGCCATGATATTTTTCTGAGTACTTACTAAGTGCCAAGGACAAGACTGGACAGGCACTCTTGTTTCTGACCCATCCCAACACCCCCATGGTTGTTGCAAATGAGAAAACAGAGACTGAGAGCACGAAGTGAGAGCTGAATCTCAGTTTTCCTATCTGCGGATCATGTCATCAACAAAGCCACATGCCCCTTGGCCTCTGAGTCCTCTCCCACAGTAGTGGGGGTGGCCACCCTCTATCCAGCCCCATTGCCTCTCACCTCATCACAGCCAGAACACCGGGGCCGGATGGTCTCGCAGTAATGGCGGCCACACCAGGGTGCACCATCCTTCCAGAAGTAGATGAGGTCCACCAGCGGGTCAGAGCACTTGATGCACACAAAGCAGGCAGGATGCCACTGCTTATTGTAGCCTGCCCTGTCTGAGTAGACCACAGGAGTGTCGGCTGGGGCCACTCCCTTGCAGAGCTCACAGATCTAGAAAGGTGGGGGAGGATCCAAAGATACAAGGTAGTTAGGAGAGCACTGTCACATGGGTTCAAGTTTTGACTCCAGTCTCTTTACTGCTTGGGTGACCTTGCACAAGTTACTATACTTCTCTGTCCCTCAGTTTTCTCATCTGCAAAGTGGAATAATAATATTGCCTACCTAGTAGGTTGTTGTGAGGACCAAATAAAGTACTTATTCAGCACAGTGATTCTCAAACTTTTTGTTCTCAGGACCATTTATACTCTTAAAAATTAAGAACCCAAAGAGTTTTTGTTCATATGGGTAGTAGCTACTGATATTTACCATAAAAGAAATAAAACTGAGAAAAAATAAATAATTATTAATTTACTAAAAAAAAATAAACTGACATGTTAACATCAATATTTATAATTTAAAATAACTATTTTTTAAAACTGAAAAATTTAGTGAGAAAGGTGGCATTGTTTAACATTTTTGCAAATCTCTTTAATGACTGGCTCAATAGAGAACTGCTGGGTTCTTGTAACTTCTTTTGTTTTTCATCTTTTACTTTATGCTGTTTTCTTTGAAATATATGAAGATTTTCTGGCTTCATATTAATAAGAAGTTGGAAAAGGAAGGGAGGAGTTTTTTAATCGCCTTCCCAGATAACTGTTGATAGTTTTCTGTGATTCTACATCAAAATTCAAGTGGTAGTTTCTCAAAAGTTAATGTGGAATTTGAAACCATATCAATCAACCTTTTATCCTTGTTATATAAAAACTCATTGGTTCACCTTGTACTTTGAATGGATTTTACCCATGTGTGATTATTTTGCAATAAACTTTAAATTTTAGAACTGTATTAGATTTACAGAAAAATTGCGAAGATAGTACAGAGAGTTCTCCTATAGCCCACGAACAGTTTTCTTTGTTCTTAGGCCTTATATTGATATGGTATATTTGTCACAATTAATTAATAATGTCGATATGTTTTTATTCACTAAATTCCAAACGTTATTCAGATGTTCTTAGATTTTACCTAATGTCCTTTTACTGTTCCAGGATCCCATCCAGGAAACCACATTATATTTAGTTGTCATGCCTCCTCAGGTTCCTCTTGGCTGTGACGGTTTCACAGACCTTTCCTGCTTTTGATGACTTTGACAGTTTGGAGAATTACTGCTCAGATATTTTGTAGACTATCCTTCAGCTGGGGTTGTATGATGTTATTATCATGATTAAATTGGGAGGAAAACCACAGAGGTAAATTGTCATCCTCATCACATCCTACTCAGAGTACATACTCAATCCATAAAATCCTTTGAGTCATTTGGAATTATCTCCTCCTCAAAACTCTGATGATGATGAAAATGATGATGATAGCTATCGTTTTCTTGGGGAAGGCCTACATCAAGCATTGTGCTCAGGCTCTTGAACTCATTACTAATACCCCTTACAGAAACCCTAGAGAACTACCTCCTCTTTTAGAGCTCTCTCTTAGAGAAATCACTATTTTCCCTGAGATATGGCAAAACTGAGGTTTCAAGAGATTCAGCTACTGCTCCATAACATACAGCTGATAGGAAGCAAAGCTGGTATTTGAACACTGGATACAATTCAACATTAAGTTGAAGCCTAACCTCAAAGCTAAGGTTAATTGTACTTCAACATGTGGCCTTTTGATCAGGCGTTGGCACACCATGGCTGTGGACAATCCTGGCCACTGCCTGTTCTTGTAGGACCTGCTAGCTAAGAATGGATTTTACATTTGAACTCCAATTCAATGAAATGTTTTCTCCTCCCTTAATCCATTTTTCTCATTAGCAGATCTGTGTTATGCACTAAATTGTGCCTCTCCCAAAACATACAGCTGATAGGAAGCAAAGCTGGTATTTGAAGACTGGTTAATTGTACTTCAACATGTGGCCTTTTGATCAGGCGTTGGCACACCATGGCTGTGGACAATCCTGGCCACTGCCTGTTCTTGTAGGACCTGCTAGCTAAGAATGGATTTTACGTTTGAACTCCAATTGAACTCCAATGGCCAGGCTTCAAGAGCGAGAGCACATGGGGTCACTCGGGCTTGTAATATTGTGACATTCGGGCTTGGAATATATATATGTGAGGAACCACTGAGGCACAGAAAGGGAAGAATAGCATACTGGTTAAATGTGCCTTTGGATTTTGGGTCAAACAGGAACCAGGTATGAGGTTTCACTTAAACACTAAACAGCTTTGTGACTTGGGACAAATTGCTTAATCTCCCTGTGTCTCAGTTTCCACTTCTGTAGAATGGAGACATAAATACCGTCTATCTCATAAGTTTTTACAAGTTACTATCTATGAAGTGCTTGGAATAGTGACAGATAAGTCACTTGGAAAATGTTTTCTCCTCCCTTACCATTTTTCTCATTAGCAGATCTGTGTTATGCACTAAATTGTGCCTCTCCCAAATTCATATGTTTAATTCGTATGTTGAAGCCCTAACCCCAGTATGACTGTATTTGGAGATAGGGCCTATAAAGAGGTAACTAAGGGTAAATGACGTAGTGAAGGTGGGGTCCTAATCAATTAGGACCGGTGTTCTTATAAGAATAGAGACCAGAGAACA